ACAGCAACCTCCAACTCTTGGGCTCAAGTGATTCTCTTGCCTCAGCCTCCCAAGTAGCTGGGACTACAGGTGCCCGCCACAACGTCCAGCTATTTAAGAGTCAAGGGTCTCTTTCTTGCCCAGGCTTGTCTCAAACTCGTGAGCTCAGGCAATCCACACACACCCCCCTCCTCGGCCACCCAGAGCGCTGGCATTACAGGCGTGAGCCACGGCGCCCGGCCCTGATTCTCTTCTCCTTAGAAACTTCAGAGGTTATTTTCAACACAAAATGCATACAGGTTGTAAACACTTACAGCCCACACCCCCGCAGGAAATGACAAGCAAAGGAGAAACGAGCTGCTCAGCCGTGCGGCGTAGACAGCCGACCCTGGGAGGATATATTACAGGAGAGTAGCTCTGGACTGAAAGGGCAGGGCCCCCTCGTCATCTCCTTTACCCCATTACAAAGGCCTCAGTGTAAGGCCCTAGGTCCGTGGGCAGGCCCCGGCTACGGGTGCAGTTTGAGAGCCCCCGCCCAGCACACCGACTGACTCCGGCTTTCTCAGGATGGTCTCGATCCCGTGTTCCTGCTCCCCTCAAAAGCAAAGGAGCCGAAACAAACCTGCGAGAAGGATCGAAACCGTGAGGCTTCAGAACGGCCGCTGCCGGGCCTGCCTGATCCGGGAGGGGTACCCAAGAGGGGCCGTTTCCCTGTCCCCTCTGGGGGACAACTCGGCCCCAGCCTCCTCCCAGACCCCACCGAGAAGCCGGGATTGGCTCCTCGGCTCTCGGAGACCACCTAGCCCAGCAGGTGTGGCCAGGCTCACCTAGCAGCTCACCTTCCCGTTCCGGGCAGCGGGCGGTCCGTCAGTCGGTCCCGAATTCCGTCCACACACAGCGTCTTCCGGCTCCCGCCGGAAGCAGCTCGAGCGCGGGACAGGAAGTTTGGCCGCCCCCCACCCCACGCACCCCACGAGCACACCAGTTCGCTTGCCTCCGGGCTTCGCGGGTCAGCCCCAGGGTTACTTGCGGAGGGCAACTGGCGGGCCCGTTCCGGCTCGGGGCGCAAGGTTCAACCCCAGGACTGAAGCACCCGCACCTCCCATTTGTTCTTTCTCGGCCTTCGGGGCTCCTAGAAGTCCGAAAAACGGGTCAGTTTCTTCTAGCCCGTGACGTCAGCAGAGAATGGGTGGTTTTTCTCGTCAGCGGAGAAGTTACTTACAGTGGAAGCACATGAGAAAGATGACTACTTAAACATTTATCTGAGGTCTCAGTAGAAAGGACCTCGAAGCTTTAACGCCCCAGAAGGGAACTTGGAGAATCAAGTTGGCATTGCAGGTTCGGCGCCTGTGGCTCAAGTGGCTAAGGCGCCAGCCACATACACCTAAGGTGGC